TCTTTTTCTAATTTTTAAATATTTTAACAAAATTAAATTAAAATAATAGAAATTGAATTGAAACAGATCTTAATGTAATATTTTTTTAAATAGATCTTACATTGTATAAATTGGCTAAAATTAAATTGATATGTATAAAAAAATCTATTCAAATAATCAAACACTTGTACAATTAAATCCACTTTTACATAATACTTGTAAAACAATACAAGTTAACTTCCATTTGAATAAAACACTTTTTTTTTATAACAAATATAAAAATGAGTAAAACAATGTGATCCCAAGAACCCATCTTATCCATAAAAAAAACAACACAAAATCAACCAATACATGTTAGTGGTCCCAAGGCCAACTCCAAAATAATTTTAAAAAAAAATATCTTCTTACTTCCTCTAACTGCAATATATCATCACAAATAAAAAAAGGGTAAAATTTGTGGTCCCAATGGCAATTTCATCTTCCTAAATCCTAATCTATAATTTAACCTTAAACTTACAAAATAAAAGAATAGAAATATAAAATGTATCAATATAACCTGACAAATTGAAGAAAAAAGGGGATTGTTGCTTGATGGGTGGGAGAGAACTGCACTTGTTTGTGTGGAAGGAAAAAAATTGAATTCTAGGTTGTTAAGAGAAAGAACCGGTCTGGGAAGTAAAGAAAGAGGAGTTTCGTTTTGAGTTTGATAGCAAAACAAAAAAAAAAAAAAAAAGTTTAACTTATTTGGTGGATTGAAGTATTTTTATTATTTACTTTTCATTTAGGGGCAAATTTGTAAAAACTAGTAAAAAAATTTAAAAACTTAAGGAGGGTCCTTGACCCCTTCTCCCCCCTTCCCTGTTGCTAGTCGTGGTGTTAGTACTGTTGGTGGTGGTGGTTGATAGGGAGGTGGAGGTGGCAACGAGTGCATCGGCACCTGTACCATTAAAGAAAACATCTCGGCACCGTTCCAAACAATAGCAAGGTCCTACAATAATATTTTTCTATCATGACATATAAAAAAAAATTATATTTGAATATCTTGCTTAAGCTACTTCCAAAAACTTACATATCCAACCTAACTTTTCCTACTAAGACTAAAAGATTGTGATTTTCTGCACGAACCTAGACAAGTAACATAGCTGTTGGATTACCAGCTTTGAACTCACTTTGGATTAGAAATATATTTTAGAAGACTAAGAAAAACTATATAAAAATATTATCACTTTGAAACCCTTCACATTTTTTCATCCTCTATAATACACCCATGCTAGCAAGGCATTGCCATCGTGAGAAAGAAAATGGAATTGTGGTGGCTGAATGGCCACGTTGATACTACATAATTCATCATAATTATCAAATTTACAAATACACTCAACATAATGTAATGAGTATAGATTTACGAATGTATATCTTACCACTCTAAAAAGAAAATTCCTGGACTCACTGGTTCCTGCAAAATGCATTGATTAATAGTTAGATCAAGGGATTTCATTATTCATAAAATCATATTTGATTATTCACAAATGTAGCATAGATGTTACTACATCATTCCCATCACCGAGCTATTACATTTTCATCGAATATTTGTTAATTCAAGAACAATACTCAGATACTTTATTAGAAAAAAAAAATCCACAATGAAATTATTCAAGATATCTAAATAAATATTTGATTATCAAATCAAGAAAGACACACTTTATGAACAAGAAATGTACTTCCATGTGATCAATTGAGTTTCTAGCTAAGTTTCGAAAATTATAAACAAACACAAGTGAATAAGAATAGAAAGACTGGAAAAGATGGAGATATTACTATTGAAGACCGTCTTTGATCCAAAGCAAAGTGGGCATTGCATTGTTTACATAAGATAATTTTCCTGTTTGCAGAATAATCAAACAGCCAAAGTGGAAGTGATGGTCACGACTGCAGGTGCATTAGCATAGGTACGATTAAGGAAAACATCTCGTGACTATCCCAAAGTAGCAACAAGCTCCTATAATAAGATTTTTCTATTAGGACCAACCAAAAATTACTTGAATGTCTACCATAAGTTACTTCCAAAAACTTACATATCTAGCTGAACTACTTCTTCTCGATCTACATGATTGGGATTATATTAACAAATCTCGTCAAGTAACATAATAACCATTAGGTTATAGGGTTTGAACTCACTTTGGAGTTTGAATAATATTCCACAAGATTAAGGAAAACTGTATAAAAAAATATTACAACTTTTACACCTCTCATTCTGAGGCATCCTTTACAATTCATGAGTGACACCCAGGTAGTGCCGTCCGCAAAAGGTATAAGGTCCTTTGGGTGTTCAACCTTCAAGTTGATACTACATAATCATCATAAATTAACTCAATATCAAACTTAAGCCAAATCCTTGATATAATGAAACTAAGTTTGTCATATTCATCTATATAATACTTCTTAATTCTATCTAAAAAGAAATATGAACACATCTTGATTGTTAAATGAATATTTGAGTAAAGATGAACAGATATCTTACTATGGTTGTTGAAAGAAAAATTTCTCTTTCTCAAAATTCTGCAAAATGCATTGAAAACAATAATTAGATCTAGGGACTTCGTTGTTATAAAATCAAACTTGATTATCCATAAATGTGGTATAGATATTTCAACATTACTCCCATAACCGAGCCATTACATTTCATAGAAAAAATTTTAAGAACAAAAATAGTCAATTTTTTTTTAGAAAATAAAATCCACAATGAAATTATTTAACATATATGAATAAATACTCGATTATTAAATCAAGAAAGAGACACTTTATTATCAACAAGAAATGTACATCCATGAGATCATCAATTAAGTTAGGAATCTAGCTCAGTTTTAAGAAATCATAAAACCCTAAATTATGGAATCGAATTTCACCATTTTCTTGATATTGACAAGTAAAGAAAGATCCACNTTGTTTCTTGTTTCTTGTATTCAAAGAACTAACCAAAGCAGCTCTTCTTTATAAACAAAACGGCATCATTTTGTCTAATTTCATTCTGCTCCTTTTACTTGATACTCTTTCATTTAAACCCTTTTTGGTCAAATTGGTATTAGCTAAATATAATAAGTGAACAATAAGAAAACAAATTTTCATAATTTTTATTGTAGGAAAATTTTGAATTTTTATGTTTTTAGTCTTAGATAAAGTTATATATCATTTATTTTAAAATTATTCTTTTTAAAAATTAATTAAAAATTACCATAAACCGAACTCATAAAATCGGGTCAATCCGACCCAAGCGAAAGATTTGAGATCTCTCATCTCCAAAGTCTAATCTATCATAATTTCAATCCCTAAATTTCGTTCTCTCAGAAAGTTTACAATCCCTATATCTCCTCTCAATTTTCATGGGATTTCGACCGTTAACACCCTAATTCGTAAATTGTCCTTCGTTTTCTATCTGGGTTTTCCACTTTTCCATTGATTTTTTCGCACTTTCTCACCTGTATCTCTCTCAGAATGGGCAAAAACCAAGCTTACATGCAGCGAGCTCGCCTCGGCTCCACCTCAGCTGCGCCAGAAGAGACCGAGGACGGCATGGTTTGTACCCTTTCATACTTCACTTAATACCCAATTTTTTTTTTTAATTTTTAATTATTGTTGTTATGTTATTTAATTATTTAGTTGCTTCTGTTTAGTTTTATTAATTTTATTTTAATTATTTTTAATTTATTCAATAAAAAATGGCCAACTTGGTGAACTTTCAAAAGGGTATTTGGATTGTGTATAAAAATTGATAATCCTTTAGTAGTTTATCTTTTATTGTTTTGTTAATTTGTAACTATTATGTGTTTTTAAGTAATAAAATTGCTAAATTGATGAGCTTTTAGAAGGGTGTTTGGAGTTATTTAGTTGCTTCTACTTAGTGTTGTTAGTTTATTTTATTATTATTATTAGTATTATATGCTTTTTCAGTTATATAATTGTTATATTGATAAAACTATTAAAAGGGTATTGGGATTGTGTAAATAAATTTATAGACTTTTAGAAGGGAAATCACGGTGCTGTTGTTTGGATTATAGGTAACATTCGACATGATATTTGTAACATCTTTTGTGAAATTAGTGAGGAAGTATAAATTGTATGTGATGCTGATTCGGTTTTGTATTTTAGTAATATACAACCCGTGACGGGTAATGTTTTAGATCTATTGTAATTTGCTTCTTAAAGTTTGTTCAAATAGGGGGAAAAAAGAAAAGAACTTTATGCTTATTTAAAGGAGAACCCATGTTTTGAGAGATTTTACACCTTTTATTTATGTTTTAATTTTTCGATTTATGTTGACAGTGAATTTTGACCCATGTTTTGGAAAATTGAATGACAAAACAATCTGTCAGCGATGAGAATTTATATAGGTTTATACGTTTTAACACATTAACTAAATAATTAGTTGGGATACATTGGTTTGTGCGGATGTGAATCTTAAATCATCTTCTAGAGATATGCATGTACAAGGTTTCTTGACATGCATTTAGAAAATTTCATTCAATTCTGTATATGTACTATGGATGATTATCTTTTCCTGGAGTATTTCTGATGGGGCCCTCGCAGGTGGATGGGTCATTTCATTCACCATGGTGGCATGTTGCTCGTTTGGCCAGCCTTAAAACTTCTCATACAATTATCTCATACAATTAGCTGTTGCGCATAGCTATAATTGTTCTTCTCATTCAATGTAACTCAAATTTGGCAGAAACTTGCAATTTTAACCATGCACAGCTATAAATATGTGTACAGTTTAATGTAATTATCTGTCTCTACTGAGAAGCAAGCCAGTATTAATAATAGTGAAAGTTTATTTAGAATAGAATAATAACAATGGAGCTTATGTTCNTTTTTTTTTTTTTTTGGGTGGAGATTCTGTTTATTACTTAATTGTATTTGGATTTAAGAGGGGAAGTAAATTTGAGTTCAGCCCATCAATGAAAAATCTAGCCTAAAATGAAAAAAAAAGAAAAAAGAATAAACATAAACAAATAATCTACATGAAAAATATATGCTGGGTATCGTCATAACCAGAAACCTACTTCTAAGAAACCCATTATATACTGCAATTCATGAATGTAAAGGATGTTTGAACGTCTCTTCCTCCAAATCCAATGCAGTAACCAAGGATGAAGACTTTAACACCCAATAGATAGATCCATAGACTTGAAACTTTAGTGGGAAAAACCAAGAAATTGTTTCTCAAAGAGAAGATGTTGAGAGTTGATAACCAAATCCAAATAAATATTCACAATGATCTTGTTCTTGAAAGTTTGAAATTGCCTTGGACTCTCTTGTGGATGGATTGCAGACAACCAAGAAAGGGAAACCATTACTAGAGGTCGACGGAGAAGAGAGAGCCTGAAGCAGAAATAAGGAGTCTTTGTCTTTGTGGTTGAGTTGAGTGGATCTTGATAAAATGAGGCTCGGCGATTAAAGCTAGGCATGAAAATTCAATTTGTAGGATTATATATTGCTTTCATTAAAATGGCTATGGATTTTCATTTCATAAGACATTCATATGTGAATAAAAACCACCACATTAAGTGAACACAATGACCCTTTTTTTTCTTTCAGGCATTTCATCAAACATCTCTCAAAGGGCTCACCTCTCAACGCAAACCCTCCTTCAAGCATTTCATCAAACATCAAGGTATCAGCCAACAGTTCTTTCCTGGTTGACCCTATTAACAAATTCCAGTATTCCCCTTAAACAGCTGCTTGCATTGGAGGAATATTATCAGCCAAATGCCAAATGTCACCCGTGTCAGAGGTATAGAATTCAGACGTCAACGCCAATATAGTACAGGCTCTCACACCAAAGGTTCCTAATACTCCTGGAAATTCATAGTATTTATTAATTGAGGAACTTCACACATTTAAGTTGAGATTTATTCAATTGTACATCCTCTGAAGTCCCATTTAGGCCCACTTTGTTACAAAGATCTGACATAACATTTTAGGTGAAAAACAACTGCTTCGGAGTCACCGAAATCATCTTCTGGTTCAAGAAGCTTCATTCCAACCCATACAAGTTCCAACTTGGTCTAATCAATCTGGCATAGAACATTAAAATTAGAGAAAAATAAGATAGAATTGGGTCAGAAATAGAGATATGGACTTACCAATATATTCTTTTAATCTTTTTGATGGTGGTTCATCTTCATCATCAGAATACTCTTCTATTTCTTTCTCATTCACCTCATACCTTTTTCACATCAAAATTTATATGAGAATGGAAAAACAATATAGTTAAAGTATAAAATTGTAAAAAAAAAGATGATGAGAGTTCAAGAGCAATATTCGTTGAGGTCGTTAAAACCAAACAAATATTAAAGTTTACCTTGAGCTCGATTCGCCATTTATGAAATTTGGAGACGTTATTATCTTGGAGATTGGTTCGTCTTCTGACCCATCACAGTCAACATCCACCGTTGATCCGACCAAATCTTCGTTTAACTCATATGAATTCCCAAAAGTAGAGCTACTGGATTTGTTGGTCCTTGGCTTCAACTCTTTCGTTTGTTTCTCGTATACCGGATGGATCCCACACCTCTTCACCTCGAATGCTGGATCATTTGATTCAAATGAAAGCTCAACAAAATCTTGAAAGAATAGTTCATCAAAATGCGACAGCACAAGATGGTCTGACGCAATCGTGACCCAACTTGACTCGCCAAATATAATGTCAGCAAATCTCCGTTTTTCACCAGTCGCATCGCAGCCAATCGCATATATAAACATGATTTTATCTCATGGCATGACAAAATCTTGACGACGATGCTCATGCAAAACGAAAACACAGCAGACAGCACATCCCACGATCTTGTTATCATAAGAATCTGGAGGCTTTTCTATTTTAATTGAAGAAGCTTCACTCTTATGTTGGAACCACTCTGGAATTTCACTTCCAGGAAAAACCAATTTAAAAGCATTAATTGACTTCGTCTGATAAGACGTTCCCTGAACTCAAAAAAAGAAAGAAAAGTCAGAGAATAATGTTTAACTCAAAAGATGAAGAGAGAGAAAGAGAAATACACTGACCTTAATGGATTCTCTGTGCATTGAAGATGCTAGATTGTTGCAGCAGATCAATTTCAAGCAGTTTATACATGAAAAATAAAACAGCTTGGATTTGCATAACCTTAATGCATTTGATGTTGTTTCCAGTGCAACACAACCATTTAGGTCAATACATCTTATGTTGGGCGGAAGTTCTGGTAGAGATCGAAGTCTCTTACAACCGTTGAAATCAAGATGTCGAAGCTTAGAAAGATGATCGATGCTTCCAGGTAGTGAAACAAAATTGTTTTTGCTAAGGTCTAACATTCCTAATGAAGAAAAGCTACCGAAAAAGTCATTAGGAATCGCTTCTTCCTCCATATTGCAGTCACTCAGAATCAAACTTTGTAAAGATCTGCAAAAATCTGACAAAGTGGGCAATCTAAAAGTATCGAAGAAGACTGAAGACGAAGATTTTGATGGCGGTCCTCTGCATCCACTAAAATCTAACTCTGTAAGATTCTTCATAAGAAAAAGGGACGCCATTGGCCGTCTTATCGCAGTTTCCCTTACTTTTAAGTCTTTTTGTCTTTTCCAGAAAGATTAAACGCTCCAAAGTCTCTGGCAAGTTATCAACTTCGGAGCATCCAGAAAGATAAAATGTTCGAAGAGATTCCAAACCATTGACTGGAAGACTCACAAGATTTTTGCAATCTACCAAAGAAAATTCTTCAAGTCCACTCAAACGTGTAATTGACGTTGGCAGTACTTTGATAGCAGTTTTGCTTAAATTGAGGTAACGTAGACAATCCATTCTTCCTTCAATCTCTGGAAACTTCTCCGATTTGTAGCAATCACCTAATATAAGTCGCTCTAGGGATTCCATATGAATCTGGTTTGGAAGAGTTGTAAGACTCGTACAACCAAACATACTCAAAAAAGTAATCTTTTTGAGAACCAATAAAGATGGGTGAACCTCACGCAATATTTTACATCCTTCAAGATACAGTTTCTTGAGATTTGGGACTGATATTAAATTTGGTATTTTGATTAAGTACTCACAGTCTTTAAAATTGATGGATTCCAAATTGTTGAAAGGCTGTTAAAAGAAAAGAAGTTAGACAAAGATGTACTTTTCTTAATTTTCCATATTTATTAAATAATAACAAGCATAAAATATTTCATAAAAACTAAAATAGGAAAGTTTAATTGAATTAATCTTACTTTGATTCCCTGTGGCATTTGTTCAATTCGACTCTGATACATTTTTAACTCAATAATTTTGTCCAATTGCAAATTTGATGGTAAGGATTTTAAAGGGTATCATTTCCAATCAAATATAAGTAAGTTGTTGGAAATGTAATCAAGGTCTTCCGAAAGTTGAACATCGCAGATCTTGAGTAATCTTAGATTAATCATTTTTGAAAATGCTTTAGGATGACAATGGATCTCTTCGGTAGAAAAGTTGAGCATCATACCTTCAACCTTTTCAGTTCCCTTCAAAATAATTAAAGAGAGAGAGAGAGAGAAAGCAAGTTAAGAATTATTAACACATGAATTGAACTATATAGATATGAGCGCTAATTACTTCAACATATATGTGTAATTTGCAGTCCACTTGAAAAAACAAAATGCGACAACTTTCCTCTACTTATAGGTCTGACATTAACATTTTAACATAAAATTTAATTGGGTTGCGCAAAAACTCTTACAAGTAACACAAAATCTTATGAAAATAGTTCTTCAATTTCAAACTCACTTAATCTTACATATGCTTACACCAATTTTTATTAACGAAATTATTATTTTGTAAATTTCATAAATTTTCATGATATTTTGTAAAAATGAATTTTTGTTAAAGAAAAATTTTAGAAAAAAAGGAACTTTGTATTCTTTTTGAAAAAAAAACAAAAATCATTGTCTAAATTTTACAAGTAAAACATATAACTCTTTTTAACTTTTCAAATAATTTTTAATTTAATTTTTAAATTGTGAAAATATTATAGGTTTTCTATAATATTTAATTTAAATATATTCATGAATCTATAGAATATATATTTTATTGATTTTTTCCTTACTCTTTTTAAAACAATATAAAAAATGACTATCAATTTTTTTTTTTTTAATTATAGATCGTACTATTCTTGTTGTCAGTATGCTCATGTATATCAAAAGTATCTAAACTAGGGAGAAAATAAATTTACTAGAAACCAAAATATAATTTTGGAAATATAACTGTTTTTGAGGAACAAGAGACTTTAATATGCTCAACTGGACTACAAATTGATCAACAAATACAGAAAAAGGAAAATAATAAATTAAACATGCATGTGTAATCTAGTGAGGCTAGCTACTATGCTAACAATGCACTAGCTCACTCCTTATATAGATATTTAACTAGTTAAAGCAAATGATGATTGAAAAGATGCATATGATTTTAACAAATTTGAATTGCTTACTGTGTTTTTTGTCAATACATGATGAATGTCTACTTCCATCCACAATTTACTGCGTTTTTCAGGCTCTTCGAGACACTCTCTCTTGACAATTTATTGACCCATTTGTTGTAACAAATCATGCATCCACAATTTATAGCCATCATGAATTATGAGCGATTTATCAATTAGAATATCTATTCCAATATTTGGAAAAAAAACCACAACTTTCAAGAATCCTAGTCACATAAGATCTACCCCTCCCGTTAAAGAAACATGTTATATCAAGAAATATTTTTTTCTCTTATTCGTCTAGCCCATCAAAGCTTATTTGAAGTATGTCCAATATTTCTTTCTTCCGATCTCTTTTTAATCTTTGCAATGCATCTTTCCATATATGAACTTCTCTTCCACACAAAAAGCAGCCCAAAACTTTAAGAGTTAATGGAAGACCACTAGCATACTGTACAATACATTTGGATAACTCCCTAAAACTTTCTGAAGGTTGATGTTTCTTAAAGGCTTTTGAAATTAATAATTGGAGGGCTTCATCATCATTTAATTCCCCAACCTTATAAACTCCATCTACTCCATGGGATGTCAACAAACTTTTGGTTCTTGATGTTATTATGATCCTACTGCCCATGCCAAACCAATCATGCATGCCAACTAATTTTTCTAATTGCTTTGGATTGTTCACATCATCTATAACAATAAGAACCTTCTTACGCCCTAACCTACTTCTTATCATGCTTATTCTATCAAAGTCATTGTATACATTGATGTCATCTTTTTTCATATGTAGAATTTGGGAAAGAAGCATCTTTTGTAAAGAAACTAGATCACTTTTTTCAGAAATTTCTCTAACATTAGCCAAAAAACTACTACCCTCAAATTCACAAGAAATCAAGTCATAGGCAACTCTAGCAATTGTTGTCTTGCCTATTCCTCCCATTCCACAAATCCCAATCATACGTACATCATGTGACTCAGGACTTATAAATTTCTTCAGTTTCTCCAAACGTGAATCTATGCCTACTAGGCCCTCAACACTTGTGTATTTTGAAAAACATAATTTGCTTGATATTTCCTTCAGAATGTCTTGAATAAATTGTGACTCATACTTGAAGAGTGGAAAAGATCAAGAAAAAATTATGGTTACAACATACAACACTAGCTAGTCATGAATAGACTAATGTATAAATAGTTTATATCATATAAATTATCTACATACACCTTTGTTTATAGCATTCAGTCTCTATTGTAGTTATATTATCTCTATACTTTTTGTATTATATACTATGTGTCTTAGTTATAGTAAGAAGGAAAATTGAATAAAAGAATTCATGCTTGTCAAAGAAAAACCAAGTTATTGATTATTATTGTCATTACTTGGTGAAATATGAAAAGTTTATTTTATTAATTATCTTTTACATTAATTACTTTATTATTAAATACTATCTATGTAACATAAGAATTTGTTAATTAAATATTTCATTATACGAATACTTTTAAATTTTTGATAAAGATAAAACTTGGTTTGAATAAGAAATTCAAAGCTTAATTTGTAGTATCAACACTCATGACTGGCGCATTTAAACAATCAAGTCATGAATATCATTTTCATAATTCATTTTGATAATTAAACTTTCCACTATAAAGATGAAGAAATAATTGTAACATACCCATCCTTTAAGTCAAATCCAGAGTGATTGGCCACCTCTGTCAAAACATTTCTCCAAGTCTGCACCTTTCCAATATCCTCTCTAAAAGTTTCTTCATGTTTGACAAAGGCTTTTTCAAATTCTCCTGTTTGTTTTCTAACCATTGAAGGATCCACATTATAGAAAACTGGAAAAACTTTTATATTCATGGAATGAACAATTTGAACAAGTTCATCTAAACACCATGTGGAAGAAGCATAGTTTTTTGAGAAAACAACAACCGCAGATCTTGATTCTTCAATTGCATGAAGGAGCTCTAGCGAAATGGGTTTTCCTCTCTCAAGTTCTTTGTCATCCCTAAAAACATGCAATCCTTTATGATTGAAAGCAGTATACAAATGATCTACGAAACGCTTCCGCGTGTCTTCACCTCTAAAGCTTAGAAAGACATCATATTTCTGATGAGAAGAAAAAGATGTTGATGAAGAGGCTATTTGCATGATGACTTTACAAGTTTGTTGATATTGTATATGCAAGCAATTTCGTCCTCTGTCAAAACCTAAAAAATTAATTGGAAAGATAATCTAAATTCTTGTAGACCATCTATAAGTATTTTCAATTTCCAGAAAAGAGCAAAAAGAAAAAAAAAATCAATCTTATATATTTTATGTGAAAATTAAATTTTTAACAAAGAAACCACCAATTTGTTTTTTATTTTTTAGTTTGTGATCAAAGAAATTATACTTAGATCAATATGTTTCTATCCTTTAGAGACAACAATTAAAAAAAATGTTTATTGTATTATTATTTTTTAATTATATAAAAAAAATGATATCATCTTTTGACTATCTAAAAATTAAAAGATACGTGAACAAGTACTCGAACAAAAAGAAAAAGAAACAAATCTAGGAAACAATGGAAGCACTTACAATTAATCAGCCTTTGGAAGCTTAGATCTGATACTCGAACTTCAGAAACTTTGGGAGACTTTGAATATCAAGAATCTTCAACCAAATTTCATTGTAATTTTGAGTACTTGTTCAGCTTGTTTAAAACATAGATGCATCAGTACTTTCATAAAATAAAAATAAAAGAAAAGAAAAATAATAGATATACAAAGTCCAAGTATGTTACCCAACAAACAAATGTATCCGGATCTCAATGCTTCATAATGAGATGCAATTGGTCCAGAGAAAGTATGTAAAGCCAGATATGAACTAACAAATAAGACAAATAATAGATAAAAGATCAATGAAGGAAAATATTGATAAATATATTTCAAAAGAAATTATACTTACAGCTTTGAGGGTGTTGAAGCGATGGAAAACCATTAAACTTTCTTACTTATTATGAATGATTTCTCTGATTTTCCTCTCTTCTTGAATGAAATATGTGTAGAAAATGGTAGAGAAAACGCCAACAACGTTCCAAGAAAATCGGTGGAAATTTCATGACAATTGCATGAAGGGGGAATAATTCTCTTTTTAATTTTGCTCCCTAGTCATGGTTGTGAAAATGACGTTATTGCACCTTTTCATATTTGCTTTCCCATTCTAAAACCCAGGTCAAATAAGAAAAAAGCAAGTCATGATTAATGTATTTTTATTAAATTTTATAAAATATTTATATACGAAAATTTAAAGAGTTTTATTAATTAAGATGTTATTTTATTAAATTATATGACATTTTTATTAGTTTAATTGATATTTATAGCCAAATTTATCTCTAATAAACTCTTTTTTTCAGTAACCTATCCTATTTGAAATCAATTTCAATCAAAGTCCTCAAAATTATCAACAAATCTTTATAAGAAATTTTATTTTCAAATAAAAATATTTGAAAGAATCAGAATGAAACATACTCATTATATTAAATCAAACTGATCATTTAATAAAAGCTTTTAATTTTTAATTATTTTCACTTTCTCTTTTTAATTTTTATACTTAAATTTTGAATTATTTTCAGTTTTTTTTTTTTTTTTTTTTTTTTGCCCTTTTAAGGGTTTTCAGTTCCGTTTCTTTAAATTCAATGGGTTCTTATATTTTTTCTTTTTCAAATTTTGTTTTTTTTGGTTTTTTTACCTTTTTTTAATAATTTTTAAATTATTAACACATATTTTCTATAGTAGAGAAAAGTAAAGAGGAAATAGTAGAGAAAATAGTAGAGCTTCCAAGAACCTTATCTCAAGTTGTTGGCCTTTTTTCTTTCTTGACTCTGACTTAATAAATGTATATTCTAACTAGCCAGTATCAGTCTGTTCTATACTGAACTAGATTTTAATTTTATCATTACTCACTATATTATATTGATTTCATAGATAATAAACTAGATTTTAATTTTGTTTCCAAAAAATAAAATATTTTAGATGTACATATGCTTCCAAATTTGTCTCACGCCGTCAACTAATTTTAACATTTATATTTTCATGAATATTATAATAATTAATTAATTTCTTTATTTTACTATAAATAATAAGTATTATAATCTAATTCATTTTGATTTTATTTCAATGTAAGTTGACCTACCATAACTCCATAAGAAGCTTTGATTACGAAACAATAATGAAGTTAGAGGATTAGAAATTTCTTGACAATTGCGTGACGGGGGAATAATTCTTTTTTTAATTGGTTGTGAAAATGACGTTATTGTATCTTTTCATATTTGCTTTCCCATTCTTTTCCTTTGATATCAGAGTGATGTCACACAGCGACCCAAATCGATGTAGTAACATTGACCTTTGCACGTTTTCTCCTGTGAATTTCCTCAAGGATTTTCGGCTCCATAGATGACGAGCATATGATGAAAAACACATTCATATTCCAATATTCATTGGTAATACAATTAATTTCAATATAAAATCTCCATAAAATATATGCGAAAGTAAATGACAAACCTCCGGCCATATCAAATATTGTTTGTTCTTCTTGCTCCTTTTTAAATTACGAGATCTTCCACTGACTGCAATTTTGGAGTGATAGTTTTGAAACTAAAAATAAAAACTGCATCAATGGGGACCTGTAAAGTCTCTTTCTTATATGCAGTTGTCTTTCCATCAAAGACAACTGCTCAAGAGACANGCTTAATAAATGTATATCCTTAACTAGCCAGCATTAGTCCATTCCATAGTTAACCAGATTTTAATTTTATCAGATAATAAACTAGATATTATTTTTATTTTTAAAAAAGAAAATGTTTTAGATATATACGCTGCCAAATTTGTCTCATGCCGCCAACTAATTTTAATATTCATATTTTCATGAATATTATAGAATGCGTTTGGTTTATTATTTTGGATAGGATTTTGAGAATAATATTGGATAGTTAAATAGGGGAGTATTACGAGGTAAAATTTAAAAATTTATAAAAGAAACCCCTAGATTTGCTAATTTAATTAAATATCCCAATATATAAAATGACAAAAACACCTTCACCACCCGCAGTGCCAGATTCTGGCCACCATCGCCAGAATCTGGCATGAAAATTGCTTTACTACATAGACCGGTCGGATCTGTATTGTAACGCATTGCTATGGCCTTTTCTGGCCAGATCCACAATAGATCTGGCCATAAAAAGCCAAATCTACGACTACATGTGGTCGTCAACGGCCAAAAAAGACCAAAAAAATCCATCTTTGGTCTTCAGCGACGGCCAAATCTTTATCGGCCAGATCTGTAATAAAGTGTCATACTGTTGCTTTATTGTTTTGTCAGACCTACAAAAGAAACTTTGACTGCGGAACAAGAATAAAGGTGGGAGATTAGAAATTTATTGACAATTGCGTGAACGGGGGAATAATTCGCTTTTTGATAATTGCTTTCCCATTCTTGAACCAAGTCATGATTAAAGTCAAACCTGTGTTGAGTGGTGGTTCCCACCTGAATTATTTTATGAAATAACGATAAGTCCTTACTCTTTTTCAATTGACAAAGCACATCATTGGATTTAAATAAAAAGCCATCAACTTCTGAATGTTATGAGCTAATTCATAATAAAGTGTATGATTGTAAACAAATGTACGTAATAAAACTACCAAGAGTCTTCTTCCCTTGTATCTTAAGATTTTTCAATGGCACTTTTTATTATTAATCTTCAATATATTTTAAACTATTACTAAATTAGTTCTTATTAATGTTCAATTTGGAACAAGCATACCATAGTATCCGCACAAGAAAACAACTTTTAAGAAATTGATTAAAGACAGAACTATGTTATTTGAAACATATGATTCATGAATGAGAAGTGGTAGAGAAATTTCATAGAAATATCATAGCACCATATAAATGACTAAATTCAACTCATTAATTATTGATAAAGAATAAGGAAATTTCTTAGAAATATATCAGATTAATTGCCTTAATAATAATGCACATAATTAAACTATTCAAATTATTAATAAAGTAGAACCTTTAATATTCATTAATAAAAACAATATAATATGAAGAATGATTATTACATTAGTTAGTGNGGGCCTGTCTTGTTTGTTCTCTGGAGGGCTTTGAAGATGGACCGTCAAGCCCTCTTCGGGTTGTACTGGACTCATTTGGCAGCCTCTTTTAAGTTTTCTGGGTGGGCTTTAATGGTAATTTTGTTTTTTCTTCCCATTCTTTTGTTGTAATAATAACAATAATAATGATTTATTATTGAATTACTTGAAATTTATTGCATATAATTTGACAAACATCAATAATTTCTTGACAGTTGGATTCATAATTCAAGAATGTAATTAACTTAAAGTGAATAAAATAAAATCAATTAAATGGATTCTTTGATCTTTTTGAAAAAGTATAAAAAGTTTGTCATTAGAATTATTCGCACGTATTGAATCATTTTCTTGTCTTTGTTTAATTATTTGATTCTTTTATTTTTGTTTTTGCTTTTTCCTTGTTTGATTCTCAAATTCAATCTCTCAAATTCTCTTATCAAATCTCTCAAACTCCAGGGTAATTTTATTTATGTTCATCAGCATATTAATACCATTTTCTTTAATTAAATTAAACAATCTCTTACTTCATCATACTTAAAAAACTTAAAAAACACTTATATTATTAGATAAACTTTTTTAACCGATAAGTCCAACGTTCTTATTGATCCCTATTATTTAAATCATATTTAAAATCCGATATTTTTTTAGCTTTCCCATTAAATACACTCCCTATTTAAGTTTGTATTCCTTTGATCATAGTCCACCTCAGACTTATTTTCCTTCGTAGTCATGGCTTAGCATTTCTCCATTCAATTTAATATGACATCTCTTTCTTAAAAAAAGTAATTCATTTAAAGAAAAATACATATTAATTAATTAGTACATATTATAACCTTGGGTTTAGCCAAGGATTTGAGATCTCTCATCTTCAAAAGTTTAATCTATTTCAATTTCAATCTCTAAACTTCTTTCTCGCAGAAACATTACAATCCCTATATTTCCTCTCAATTCTGATGGGATTTCGACCGTTATCAACTTAATTCTTAAATTTTCCTTCGTTTTCTATCTGGGTTTCCAACTTTCCCACAAATTTTCTTGCACTTCGTCACCTGGGTCTCTCTCAGAATGGGCAAAAACCAAGCTTACAAGGCCATGCAGCGAGCTCGCCTTGGCCCCAACTCAGCTACGCCGGAAGAGATCGAGGACGGCATGGTTTGTACCCTTTCATACTACTCTTTCATAACCAATTTTTTTTTTTAATTGTTAATTATTGTTATTATTTTATTGAATTATTTTGTTGCTTCTGCTTAGTGTTATTACTTTCATTTAATTATTTTTAATTTATTCTATCAAAAATAGCAAGCTTGATGAACTTTCAAAAGGGTTTTTGGATTGTGTATAAAAATTGATAATCCTTTAGTAGTTTATTTTTATTGTTTTGTTAATTTGTAACTATTATGTGTTTTTAAGTAATAAAATTGATAAATTGATGAGCTTGTAGAAGGGTATTTGGAATTATTTAGTTGCTTCTACCTAGTGTTGTTAGTTTTTTTTATTATTATTAATATTATTATATGCTTTCTCAGTGATATAATTGTTATATTGATAAAACTATTAAAAGGGTATTGAGATTGTGTAAATAAATTTATAGACTTTTAAAAGGGAAATCATGGTACTGTTGTTTGGATTATGGGTAACATTTGACATGATATTTGTAACATCTTTTTGTGAAATTAGTGAGGAAGTATGAATTGTATGTAATGCTGATTCGGTTTTGTATTTTAGTAATATACAACCAGTGACGGGTAATGTTTTAGATCTATTGTAATTTGCTTCTTAANTAATCATTAGTTGGAGTAATTGTCTATTTTTCTCTTCTTCAATAACTTTAATTAAGCAAGATTAATTAGTGGAGTCTCCCCTCATGATTTCAGAGTTAAACAAAATCATAAAAATGTTGTAGGCCATATGGTCATGCCTATGCATCTCTGGAATCAATTCCCGGTTTTC